ACACACACACACACACACACACACACACACACACACACACACACACAGATAATAAAAACTGCATACAGTACACCAAACTACAGAGGATCTCAGTCAGTGGATGAGGAGTTATTTCAGAGAACACTTGCTGGGCCCCCCCCCCCCCCAAAGACCACCCACTGATTTCATGATTTCAACTGTTACAGAAAGAAGATATTCAATCAGCAGAGAGGAGAGACGCTTCTTTTCCTTTTCCTCAGTGGAGAGAATCTGAGTCAGCACCGTTACAACAAGTGCACTGTCTCAAGGCGACGTGACGGGAAGGCTTCACAAACAAAAAGGAAACCACTGAGGCCACACGTCTGGAATGAGTGTTGTGGATTCTCTCTGAAATAATGACGATCCAGAACATCAGAGGACTTCCCCGAAATACTGCAGCTGATTGTGAAGATGAGGCTAAAGGAAATGGTTTGACATCACAAAGGATCGATACCATTCTCACGTCTGGCAGGTCATTAGCTTAGCTTAGCATAAAGACTGGAAGCGAGAGGAAACGGCGAGCATGTGGACCACAACATGTGATTGACTCGTCATGTTGTACTTTGTTCTTGTAGAGTTTAAACAAACGAGATACATTGTGTTAATCAGTGAGCTTTAGAGGCTAGCTGTGTCCAGTCTTTATGCTAAGCTAACCAGCTTTCACACATGCACTGCAGTACTGAAATCATCTAAAATCACTCAGAGCGGACAATAAAGTAAAGTTAAATTGATGTCCGATTGAGTGTGAATAGAAACGCTCAGTGTCCTGAGAATTCATGACGAGCGAATGAATGACGTTTCTAACATGCTGCTGGTGCAAAACAAGAAGAATCGCATCGATCGTCTCATGGAACACTTTGCAATAAAGTAAACGAGCAAATGTTCCCACAATGTCGACATATGTTCCTTTAACTGCTTTAGTTTGATTAACATGATCAGAAATACAAGTGTGTGTGTGTGTGTGTGTGTGTGTGTGTGTGTGCAAACTACTGAATCCAGCTGACAATCACGGGGACAACACTCTAGAACCACAACGTTGACGATCTATAGTGCCAAAGCTGAGACGTGGAATTGCTTCTTAAAACAGTGACTCTTAAAATGAAGTACATGTGGTGCTCAAAATAGGCAACGGTACACAAAAGGCATTCGTCTTAAAAAAAAAAAAAACACAACAAAAACAAACAAGAAGTAATGAAAACAAAGAAGTTATATGCACTTTAAAAAACAACTTAAAAAACAAAGTTTTCTTTTTGTGGCGATGCCGCGACTGACAACCCCCTGAAATCTTAATACGCCGTCACACCGAATGAACTCCTCTAAACCGCAGATTAGATTATTTATAAGTCCACCAGGTGGATCAAGGCTCGACTGAAACTGTTCTGCTGCTAAATAAAAAAACAGTGCAGCAATAAGGGCGTTCGGCTTGAGCTCAGGAATGGTTAACTAACAGACACCGTGTATCCCGAAAGAAAGAAAGGAAGAAAGAAGGAAAGAAAGAGAGCAAGAGCATATTAACACAAAAAGAAGCCTGAATTAAAGTTTCTCTTCAAGGCAGTTCTGGCGCCAGAAACAAAGGAATTCATGTTTAGAAGAGGATTACAAATTAAGTTAATATGGTGTTACACTACAATGCCGATAGCTCTTCATTCAGACACATTATTCTACATAACGAAGTGAAAACTAGTCAACAATCAGTGGGATTCAGCCCCACTCGTCCATAAATAAGGTCTGTTTAAACAGGCCCAATAGAGACTGTTAACTGGCCGAGAAATGTGGATGAAATCATGGTTTTGGCACGGGCCTTATAAAGAAAACTCCTCACTTCCATCTACAAAGAAACCTACTAAACCTTCCTTTGGTTAAGAAAACAAAACAGAAAAATGAGCAAAGGTTAGCAAGGTGTTCCCCTCTGAGGAGAGCGACCGCAGCCCTTGTTGGGGTGAGATTTACAAAACGGTGGTTTAGTAGCAGGATTTAGCATGTTAGGCTTCTCAAAGGCTCTTCTGATGATCATCACAGTGGTTTAGAATTCAACTAGAGGGCAAATGTTCATGTAAGATTAGCGAGAACAGGAGGACCCTGGTGTCTGGTCTCTCTCACATGTGTGTGTGTGTGTGTACGTGTGTGTGTGTTTCCATTGTTCCATGTCATTACGGTCAAGTCTCAGGCGTCAAGGTGTGTCTGGCGAAAAAAACTTTCAGGTATCGAGATCCTGGAAGAGACAAAAAGATAAAAACAATTACTGGTGAGTCTCAAAACAGTACTTTACTTACCTCACAGCTGCAGAGAGAACCAGACGTTTACCGTACGAGATCACTTCAACATATTGTTTAGAAGACGTATTCCTGTTTTTCTTCTAATATTCATCCAAATATTACAATACTGTGAATTTGATACACGTCATGTAAACAGCTTATTCTGTCTGGATATTTAGAATAAGGCCTTATTCAGAATGGAGCATGTGTGATATGTTGATATTATTCTGGTTTTAGGAGAATTCTTTGAACATTCAGATTATGAGTCTCAGTTTGGGGTTTTTAGAGACGCATTCCCAAAAGAAAAGCCCAAGAGAATCACACCTACTTATAACCAGGCAGCAACCTCTGGTTCTGTCGAGTGAAGCCAAAGCTTCAAGTGTTAAAGCTGCATTCTCTCTAGTGTCCACCAGGGGGCGACTCCTCTGGTTGTATAGAAGTCTATGAGAAAATGACTCTACTTCTCTCTTGATTTATTACCTCAGTAAACATTGTAAACATGAGTTTATGGTCTCAATCTCTAGTTTCAAGTCTTCTTCAATACAGCATGATGTTCATTTAGTACATTATGGTCCATTTAGAGTCACACAGACCATAAAGCAGGGGATGCTTTAGGGCGGGGCTACTGTGATTGACAGGTCTCTACCAGAGATGTGTACGGCGTCTCTACGTCACTCTACAACCCAATGAGACGGCACTTCTTATATACGGTCTATGCTTATAACTTGTGACTACTCCTGGCTTCTCTCCATTGATTCTAAGGTTGTACTGATCACTGACCCCAAGATCTATAGAAATACAGAGATGTTGACCTCATATGGTATCTTTTGCCATCAGGGACCTGCCTGAGGAGATAAATCTCCAGAATCAATCTCTTTTAAATCACATTTTTACAGATTGGCTTTTATGCGACATCGTCTTTTTACTGCTTTTATTTATTTCTGTTCTATATTATTATTTTTTGTTGTGATTGTATCGATTGGTTTTATTGTTTCTTTATCTATTGGACCGTTTTATCAGCGGCTATTCTGACCCACAATCCTCAGCGCGGCCGAGGATATGAGACATCGACGAGAGCGACGGACAGACGGCACACAGAAGACAGTTCAAGGTGCAGTAGCAAGAGGCGTTCACGTGTTGAAGGCACACTGCATGCAACAGTACGAGCTTTGCAAGAGCAGCTGCTGGACACTTGGTGTTTATAAAGAACTACAGAATTTCTTAGTAGTTAAGAGTTTAAAAAACAAGCTGGAAACATCCGATATATCATCAACTTATGGAAGAGTTCTGGTAAACGAGTTAGCAAAATGCTGAATTTACCACGTCAGCTCTTATAATAACTTAAACCCAGTTAAACGCCTTCATCAAATCTCCAGCCTTTGCTTTCCTTTTTCCACCACCAGCTCATGTTTTACAGTCTCATATTGAATTTTTGGTTCTAAATGAGCAGCATGTCAGTTCATTTACCCGGAACTGATAGAGCACTGGGGTCAGAGGTGAATCTCATCTGAAGCTCTTCTGCTGCTGCATCAGGCCCACGTTCTCATACACTCTGGAGCTGTCCTCCCTCATCCTGCCAACACACATGCACACGCACACGCACACGCACAGACACACAGACACACACACACTTTCATGAGAAACTAAGCGACGAGGCTTTCTTAACAAGCGGTTTTAATATGACATGAAGAGGTGAACAGCAGCCGGGTACTTACTCTGTGCAGGTGGGAGTAGGAATAGGAGTACAAGGAGGCAAAGGGCTCTGCTCTCCTCCGGTCAGGTCGGACAAAGAGTACTTAATGTTGGTGTACTCGCGCCCTTTAATCTTACTTTTCTGCAGAGGAGAGAACACGGGAAGTTTAGGAGACAGGAAGAGGGGAAAGAACAATGGAGAGAAAAGGGAAAGAATCTGCTGCACACCTGCTCCTCCTCGATGCGTCTCTGCAGTGTTTCTATGTAGTGCTGCACGGCCATGTAGATGAATCTGTACTGCGCCTCCGTCTGCACCATCCCGGAGCGCTGAGAGCGAACCATCTGGATGGTCTTCGGCACGTCGATGTCGCAGTCCACCCCTGCAGCACGAAAAAAGAAACAATATCTCACACCGGTGACGTAAACACAAGCGACATTACGAGTCTCTGAAACACGGCGAGAGCCTGTGGAGGTGATAAAACGTGTTGTGTTGGTTTATAGAAAGCTGTACGCCAGCTGCTGGAGATAAGATGAGCTGTTATTGATCCCCAGAGGGGAAATTCATGGAGAGAAAAGTATATTTTTATGAAACGATTCAGCAACAAACAAACGCCAAAAGCATCGAGACAATGTGTAAAAGAAACACATTATGAATACAATTAAAAACAGTCATTAAAGAGCAAAATGAAGAGAGAGAAAAACAAGCAAAGTTAGAGTAAGACCCGTATTAAATACAGGAGTACATGTTACAGTGGAGCGTGCAAGAAATGATGAATCATTTGATTTAAAAGAAGTGAGAATCTGCAGTTTTAAGAGAGTTTGTTCAGGTCTGGACGGTTGATAATGTAGCAGAAGATCAGAAATGGACCGAAATAAGAAATAAAGATTAAAAGAGAAAATACAGATGCAAGACTCTCGAGCTGACAAAGGGAACATTTAATGGACTCACCTTTTTCTCTGATCACATCTATCAGGATGTCGATCACGATAAATGTTCCTGTCCTCCCGATCCCCGCACTGAAGAACAAGAGAGAGAACGTCTGTGAGCTAACTAATGTATTAGTTTCCAGCGTGTGTGTGTGTGTGGGTGTGTGTGTGTACCTGCAGTGTACTGCTATCGGCCCGGCGTCCGCTATGCTCTCCTGCTTCAGGTTGACCTCCTCCAGGAAGTCGAGGACACCGCCCGGGTCGGTGGGGACGCCGTGGTCGGGCCAGGCCCTGAAGTGGTACTGCCAGACGGTACGTTCTGTGTTGCCCTGAAACCAGTGAGGAGCCACTTTCAACATACAGCAGAGAGATTCAATAAGGTTCAATTACAACCTCAACACATCAATACTGAGGGTTTTTGTTAAGGATTAAGGCCTTTAGACTCTGGGAGAACTGTTGGGAACGTGCAAAAACGTACACTACAGCGTACAACACGACGGAGGCTCCGTAGTCCGAACCAAGACGGCAAACTTTATTGCTCCTTTTAAACCTTGACAAAGGCAGCACAGACCAGATGATTCTGCATCTACTTTCTATAGAATGGATTTTAAGAACTGATAAACAGAAAATATGTTCTTTTCTTCACCAATGAAAATCACATGAACGTATGAATGTATTTCTATTGTTTGTACATAAACACATCTTACCTGTCCGACTTTGGACAGCTTGAGTTCTCTCAGGATGTAGTCGTGTGCAGACGTCTCTTTGACGTTGCGAACCCGCATCGCTCCGTACTCCTTCAGCGCCGACATGTCCGGCCAGTACTTCACACATTTACTCTGAAAAGACACAAAAACACGTTTACTCTGATGAGCAGAAGTGGAACTAGTGTTCAGATCTTTTATTCAGTAAAGGCACCGATACCACAGTGTGGAAGTACTAATATTTATAATAAAACACTGTGAAAGGAGCAGTTCTGCATAATGAGTACTTTTAAGCACATGTTGATTATACTTCTGTACTTTTACTTGAGTTACTTATTGAGTTCTGGACTCTTACTTGTAAAAGAGCATCTTTAGACCGCTGTATTTCTACTTCTACTGAAGTAAAGGATCGAATATAGAAACCAAAACCTGATATGAAAACAGTATATCTGCATTAGGAATACTTTGCCACATGTCCCAGTGTCTATGCTCAGAAGAGTATGAATGGTTCTCGGTGGACCTCACCTTTCCTCTCTCCACCTCTTTGGTGGTCATCACGATGACTCGAGAGTTCTCCTGAAACACCATCCTCCAGAAGTCACTGATGGTGTTCTGCAGACAGCCCTGAGTGGCGATGTAGCTCTTCTTCACCTTCGTGCTGTTTACCTTTGGGTCCAGCTCGGGCTGCGCGCGCGCGTACACACACACACACACACACACACACACACACACACACACACACACA